CATGCACTAAATCTTGATTTTTCTAAGTTCGATACTTCAAGTAAATAAGGTTCAAATTGTACTCACTGATTCTTCATGTAACTCACGTCAACCAAGGCACATCCTCCGCACAGTAGTCAGGAGGTGCTCCTTCCACTGCTGTACTTCGTCTGATGACACCCCCTCAGGGTGCTCCTGCTAGTCCTGGTGCTGCTGCTCGATCAGCCCTCCTCCAGAAGGCGCTCCCCTCGCAGTGACGTATATTTTAAGCACTTGATAACGATCCGCTATCTTATTGGTGCTTATATGGACGTGTACAATAGTCAACTTCGTGCCTTGCAAAACCGGCAAAACGAAGGACCATGTAAAAATCCCAAAAAGTCAAAAATGTAATAAAACACAAGGTTCTATGGCAAAGGTTATTTATTCAAATAAACGTTGAAGTATATAAGTATTTGGTAAAAGAACTTACATATGCGATGTAGAAATATATGTTAACTAACACATTTATAGGGCACACAAACATCATTGCCATCTAGCGATCATAAATATATACAAACTGACAACCACAGACATTATGAAAGGACATTACTTAACACATATTTTTGTTTACGTTATTCCTTTTGTTTTATTAAGTTTTCTCTTGCGTGATTATCAGCTATTTTTAACCGGTATTTTAGTTCGCATAAATAATCGTCAACATTATAAATTGAATCTATTGGATGATGTGTTATTGATGATGGTAGATTACATAATTTACCGAAAACGAGTTCATAAGGTGTGTATTCTGTTTTAGTATGTACTGTAGTGTTAAATGCAAAGGACCAATACGGCAGCCATTTTGCCCAGTCGTATCTCGCCTTTTCTGTTTGTATTCTAAGAAATGATCTTAAATTTTTATGTGTGTTTTCTTTACTAACCAATTGTTTTGTGGTGATATGCTGTCGAATGTAGTTTTTCTATGTTAAATAATTTACAAATTTCTTTCATTGTTGAACTTAACCCTAGCTCACTAACCTTAATTTCGAGTAACATTATCACTAACCATTCGTAAATTTTACGACATTATTCATAGATATTATTCACACTCCTATGGTCCGCTTGGCAGGGTCGCCATCTCATATTCGGATTGGGTTTATTTAAATAAAATACGTTCGTTCACGATAAGCGACGTTTATTAACTAACTCATCAATACACCACAGCAGCATCCTTTTTAAACTCATACTTCGTATTTTTTTGTGTTAAAACGGTTCATCATTAAAGTGCCAGTCCCATACATATTTCTTTTATGAAGCTCTTGCAATAATGGCAAAGATGTAAAGTATCTATCAAAGTAAAGGAAACTTCCTTCTAGAAGAGTGCTAGTTAGTCCCCATCCCAACAGCAGGCCCAACAGCAGGCCCCATCCCAAATTTCTCTAAATCAGGTAAGTTGGTGGTATTTCTCTGGTAAATTTCGAAATGTAGTACTTTCTCTGTGAAGGAAGTAATGACGAAATTTTTCAAACCCTCTGGCGGGGCTTATTTTTTACCACTACTTTAAAAGTGGACATCATTAGGAGGAAGCTGCAGACAACGATTACGTACCAAATCAATAACTGCTTGAACTCTCCATAGTTTGTTTTTTGCATGCATGGCATGAACGTTTAGAACATGTAGGTTCACCCTGAGAAGAAAAAATCTGTCTCTTGACATGGCACTTACAATGCGGTCAAATTTGTAACGCTGGTTCCAGAATAATTTGATTCTTGGATAGCTAAAGCATCCTATTATACCGTGTACACCAAAAAACTTTTTAACCTCTCCAGAAGTGCGAACAGGCTTCAATTGATGACCAGTTTCAGTCATATAATACTGGTTTGTAGCTAGCGCAAACTGTTCCATTAATTGCTGCGTAAAATATCTTTCAAAGTATTGTGCTGGAGTCAATATTGCGGAGAGCTCAGGTGCAGGTGCTATTGGTATCGGATTGAATTTTTTTTCTTCTTCTTCTATCGCAAATTCGCCATTGGTACGTCTTCATCGCTCGATAGCTCGGAGGAAGAGAAGGAGGACAGATTGTTGGACTCCTGAGCTGCAATTTGGATGTCTTGTTGATCCTCGTCATCACTTCCTTCATCCCCAAATCCATTTAAAAAGTTTTCAATTTGGTCTTCGGCTAAAATCCGCGTAATCTTTAAATAATCTGTAAAATAAAAAAGCGAGTTTTAGGTATTAAGTTCGCTAAGAGGTATCTTTCAGCTCTGGTTTATACAATTGTGTCGAAAAAATTCGGTAACTCGTCACTGCAATGTAATTATCGATTACAGTGAAATAAATACAAAACAATATAGAAAAAACATCGTTTTCATCGCAATCGTGTGGAGTCGAGCCCGTTCTTATAGAAGAAAAAGTTTTTTGACAAAATTTAATCTAGTAAACCACACAATCGTTTAGGGCCAGTTCTGAAAGTGATAAATGCAAAATCACAGCATACAATAATGTATTTAATTTATTAAGTATAGTAATTAGTAACAATAGCAACAATGAACTTTAGGATTTTGGTTTAATCTATGGATATAATCATTAAATTTGCATATTAAATGCTATTAAAAAAATAAGTACTTATTCAATAACAAATGGCAGCAACGATGGCCCCTATCTACCATAATCGGCTTTAAAAGGCTATTACCAAGCACTCTGTATGTGCATTCAATAACAATAGCAACAATTAAGACATTAGTTGTCTCAGATACTCCATAATACGGGGGCTTTAGCTACTCATCTTGGAATCTGAGCAATGTATGTGATGTTGTTAAATATTATTGTTAGCTTAAACTAACATCGCATGAAGAAAAATTGCCTAATCACTACTGAGATTTGTTTCTCTTTAGCGTTGTATAGTCTTCTAATAAAATCAGTCGTGAGTACTTGCTAAAAATCACATAATACACTGGACCGCAAAGAAAACGGGTCGGTTAGAAAATCGTCAATATCTTGAAAACTACCTAACTTATTTTTATGAAATAAAAACTAAATTAAAGATTATTTAATTGTAATTTATTAAATATAAAAAAATACAAATTAAAAGTTGTCTTTTTTCAATAAATGTCAAACGAATGAAAAAGGTAGTTTTTCTGACATTTTCGTAAATATGAATTGTATAAAGATGTGACGTTTTTACGCATGTTAGTATTTCGTGTTGCCTCCACGAGCTTGCAAAACTGCGGCTATGCGATTCGGCATACCTTCCACAAGGTTTTTAAGGCGATGCTGCGGAATGTTCTGCCATTCCTCGATCAAAGCTCCTTTCAATTCACGCAGCGTGATTGGCGGCGGATTCCGTTGACGTACACGTCGTCCCAGTTCGTCCCATGCATGTTCGATGGGGTTTAAGTCGGGGCTTCGTGCTGGCCACTCCATGCATGTGATACCTACTTCGTGAAAATAGTCGAACACTATCTGAGCTGTATGCGGGCGGGCGTTGTCTTGCATAAAAATAGCATTTTCGCCCATATCTACTAAAAATGGACCAACATAATCATTAAGAATTTCATTCACATATCGTTCTGCTGTTAAACTGCCATTTTCTATCACTACTAGCTCAGTACGACTTTCGGAAGAAATCCCAGCCCACACGTGTATAGAGCCACCGCCATATGGTACTTTTTCTTCTATACAAGCTTGGTTATAGCGCTCTCCCGGTCTTCGGTACACTCTTTTCCTCCCATCGTGCTTGTATAAACAGAATCTAGACTCGTCTGAAAACATAACTCTTGACCAGTCATCCAGAGTCCAAGTTTCGTGTTCTCTGCTATAACTCAGCCTTGAGTTTAAGTGGTGTCTTTCTAATTTTGGGCCATTTGCAGGCCTTAATGGTCTCAAATTTGCTTCAGCCAGACGTCGCCTTACTGTATCTGTACTCAGATAGTTTCCTCCAGCTCGTAAATGGTGATTTTTCACCTCAACGGCCGTAAGAAATCGATTCCTCAAAATTGTTGACACCATATAGCGATCCTCCCGCGCAGTCGTGCACCTCGTTCGGCCTATTCCTGGTCTTCTTAGGTTGGATCTAGTTTCATGGAAACGCTGGAGTACCCGCTGAACTGTGGAAAGACTCACACCAACAGTTCTCGCTGTATTGCGCTGACTGCGCCCATCTTCAAGCATTGTCAGGATCCTGGTGCATTCTTCAGGGGTTAACGACATGATGACTTCAGAATACAATTTTTGTATGACAAACACACGATATTTATTGTAGTTTTTATGTCAAAACTAAAACAAATGCTTTGATTTTTTTAGAACTAAATTGAAAAAGAACCATTATCTTCATTGCCAGTTTTCTTACACAATTATCTAAAGTAAATAAAAAGGTTTTATATACTATGTTAAATAACATTAAATATTCTTTAATTGAGTTTTATTTCATAAAGCTAGGTGAGGTAGTTTTCAAGTTATTGAAGATTTTCTAACCGACCCGTTTTCTTTGCGGTCCAGTGTAGTAACTTCAACATTATTTTTAACTAAAACACAAAAAACGAGGTAAAAATAACCTTAACCATTCACGCAATCAACTGAGGCTAAGGCACTATCTATGTCTACATTAAAATTAAATAAGCATACAAAATACGCACTTATAAAAAATAGAAAGCGTCATCATCGTTAGACAACAGAATCTCTTTGGGATTGTCTGGATTTGGACACAAACCAATTTTATTTACAACAGATAGGCTTGGGACATTATCATAGTCCTTTTTTTTTGTAAATGTAAACTTTTGTGTTTTTTTTACAGTCTTATAAAATGTTATTGAGTAATATATTTCGCTGTCACCAGGTTTTACTTCTTCCATATACCCTCGTACGAGGACAATGTCATTAATGCCATAATCCTGTATTAGTTTATATTTTTCTGAAATAACGTTATATGAATCACCTCATTTTTTTCTGTTTCGAACTTACTGTTTTCTTCGACGTCTTTACTTTCTTTAACTAGTTTACTGCAAACTTTCTCAGGTATCTCTTTTACTGTTAGTGATTTACTCTTATATTCTCAATATTTCCATCTCTTCTGCTGTAGACACATCTTCTTCAAAATGTTGTTTCTCGTCGTAAATGTCGGTATCGCTGTAGTCGCAAATGTCGGAATCACTGTATTCACTTAAGCAATCCGAAACACTTATCGAGTCATCTGAAGCTACTTCAGGTCGATTTTTCTTTTTAGATTTAATTACTTTTTTCTGTTGTTTTTGAACAACTCTTTTTACCAATGCCTTTCCCTTTTTTCGATTTAATTGTTTGTTGTTGTCGTTCTCAACTACCAGGCTTCTTTATCGAACTTGATGGACCGGGTTCCATTAACACTTTTCTTTTTATCTTAATTTCCTTTGGTTCTTTCTTAATATTTTGGATTTTTCTTCCCTTTAACGCCTCAAAACGTCGTCATGAGTTATGACTTCCGCTCCTGGCGCCATTCTTTGTCGCTTACCTTTTGTGCTGTTTCCAACTTAAACTTTCATCAAGAGGAGTTCTTCAAAAGTCAACGTTCTGTCTTCTAAAACGTGGACTTTTTTAAATGTCTTTATTGGTAGATTTGGTTGTCTCATGTATTTGATGTTTTCCATTTACCAATTCACTTTAATTCATATCATGAGAATTACTCGTAGGAAAACGATTTGAATCTGAATGCTATTGGGAGTCACGCTCTTCAGATGTTGCTGTGTGCACCATTTTTGAAAGGCAATTAAATGCTAATTTAAAAAGAGTTTTTGGTCGCTTTTGGTAGAAGACTGCTCAACTGGGACATCAAAATTTGGACATTCTTTTGGAGAACTGTGAAATCTGTTCAAGCTTCTGTTGTCTCAAGTTTTTGAAGATTTTTCATTGTTCAAGCTTCAACAAGTCGAATTGCTTCTCATCAACTGCTTCAGGATTAAAAGGATAAATATCTGTCTTACGAAAACCATTCTTTCAAACTTGACTTTCGATTTGTGTCCAAACTTCTCCGATTAGCCTCTCGAACTCTTTTTTCGACAATGTAACTCCAACATTCAAACGCTGCCATTTGACAAGAAGCTGATCCCAACGGTCTTTGTAAGATTTCATACCTGCCATATCAAGCGGCTGCAAAATATGACTGGTATGTGCTGGTAATTTCAATATTGTTATATCGGCTTTTCGAGCTTCCTCGATAATATTTAACCCCATATGGGTCGCGTGGCCATCATATGTGAGCAAAACTGGACGCTCATCCCCAATATTTGTAATAAAAACTTTTCTGAAGTATGTCTCGAAAACCTCGCTCTCCATCCACTCATTCTTAGTCGCGGCATAAGTTGTGTCTGGGTAAGCTTCTGGAGATGTCCACTCGTCCCACATATGTTTAACTTAATAAATTATCAGCGCCGGCATTTTTTCTCCAAGCACATTGATTCCAAGCAAAACAGTTGTGTTTCCAGGTGAAGCAATGACTCGAGTAGCCGCGTGTCCTTTAAGTCCAACGTTTTTGGTTTTGTCTAGGTCTTTTGAGAAACTTGTCTCGTCTGAATTCCAAATTGCAGGTGGTTTTTCCAAAAGATTCAAATCTCTTAATGTTCTCTCGAGTAAATTGAAGTACTCGTATACAATAAATGGATTTATTGCTTTCTTTCGCGCGTATTCAACTGCTTGAGGTTATTTAACCGATAAATGATGTCGCTTTTTGAATGCAGTGAACCACGTATTACCAGGTTTTCCGTTTTTAAGTGGCGTTGATATTTTGTTCTTAATCACAAAGTCGGCCACCATTTCCAGCATTTCTGTTTTTGTCAATCCAAAGCCATGCTTTTCCATCAGGTGAAGACCGGTAGCTAATTTCTTTTCTACTTGTAATGGTAATGCCGTGTTTCTTCCTAGTGAATTTGATTTGGTCCTCTTATTGTTAACGTAGTCCATTATTTCTAGTACAATTTGTATTTTCGATGCTTGAATCTTGAAATGGCATGGCAAGCTAATATCTGATCTGTAGCAACAATTAAAACAACTTTTTGCGATTATGAAGTGGGTTATTAACCAAGGCCACTTTTTTCGTTTAAACTTTCAAGATAGGTTCTTCGCAAAAAACGATCGAATTTCGATAGTCTGTTGGTGCGCAACATTAATGGAGGAATGTCTATCCGCAGCGACTACCCTCTCACACACAGTGAATAGTCGCGTCGAGTGCATTCGCTGCGAGTAAAATTGAACATGCTCAATTCTAATCGCAGCGAATTCAACCTGCGGCGATTGAATCTATTCGCAGCGAATAGTCGCTGCGAGTTCCTTATCGCCGCGACTCAGCAATGTGCAAAACCCGAGAAAAGCTTTCAGAGTAACTCGTTTCAAGATTTGCTTAAGAGCGCACCGAGGCTCCACTAGTGCCGCCAATCAATAAATAACATTACAGCGAAATAACTAGGTATGTTTAGTAAAATTTTAAAACTTTTAAAAACTAGGTTAAGCTGTAAACTATTTTTGTATGCGTTAATTCTTAGTTTAAATGTGTTAGTGTAGTAACAATCTGGATTAACGCCTATTCCAGATTGTAACTACAAAAACACATTTAAACCAGGACAAAACACATACCTACAAAAATTGTTTACAACCACCTAGTTTTATAGGTTTCAGAATTTTATTAAACATTTTCAATTATTTCGTTTAATGATTTTTTTCTTGATTGGCGGCGCTAATGGACGCACATTGCAGGGTACATTGTATGTGAAACAATAAAAATAATTAATAAATACGTGCAGCTGAAAAGGTTGACAATATCTGCAATCGAGGCAAGACCGGCATATGACGGACTTTCCTTATGCATGCTAGACGGACTTCCCAACTATTAGATTTTAAGGTTAGCATTTTGTGCAGGTAATAGTTACGAAATTCAAGTTCAATATTAATAAATTCATCACCAGAAATAAGTATATGGATCACTAAATGACTTACGTAATCATAGAAACTCCAAAAACACCATCGATTTTCCACTTTTTTTGTTTTTTTTTTCTCAAAGACGTTATACTCCCACTTCAAGATCACAACGCGAAAAAAAAATGGCTGACCGATTGTTGAAAGACAACATAATGATGTTAACGACATCTATATATCTTAGTTCGAACTAGCTCCGTAATACTGTTTTACCGACCGAGACATAAGAACCTAGTCGTTCAAAAATGGAAGTAATTGCCACTGGATGGACTTGCCTCCCAAACGGACTTCCAAACAACTGACCTTATGTGACTTTATTAATTATATATACGATAACATTGAATACCCGGTTATACCTATTATTATAATCATTAAACTTAGCTTCATATTCTGGAAAAAACAGTTTTATTTTATCCCACAACGGGCGTTTTTCCATTAGCCAGACCGGCACCGGCACGGTACCGGCATGGCCGTGCACCGGCACCGGCGCCGGTGTTTCGTTTTTCCACTGCGCCGGTGTCGATGCCGGTTTACGCCCGGTAAGTGGTACAGTACTGACACGGACTTAAGCACGACGACACGTAAAGTGTAATTTACGTTTAGATATAACAATGGTATCGTCAAGCCGTCCACTATATTTGTTATATCTTTTACATGTACGACGCCAAAGACGCAGACGCAGAGACGTCGAATTTTGGATTCATCCAATACTAAAAGTGAGAACATATTATACGCTATTAGAAAAGTTAAAAAAGGACCCCAGAAAATTCTTCAACTATTTTCGCATGATCGAAGAAACATTTAACTATTTGTTGGAGAACTTGTATCTGAAAATTAAGAAGAAAGATACTTCATTTAGAATGGCAATACCACCGGAAGAAATGCTAGTAGTGACGTTGAGGTAAGTTTTTCACCTTTGTGGAATGTATCTGTCATTAAAAACGACTACCATCATAAATGAAACATTTTTATTCATGAAACATTTATTTATAAAAAAAACATCAAGTATGTAATTATAATGCTTTCTATCCTCAATATAATTTACCCCTTTTATTTTATATAAATAAAATTATAATTACTCTTCAGTATTAAACTGATTCATTAAATTTTGATAAACATTTACGTAATTTAATTGGTGTAAACGACAGCTGGGATAGATATACGTTTTTAGAACTAGTTGTACTGCTTGCTGGTGATGGTGATTCCGAGATGATGCGAAAATTCAGAGTTCTTTTTTGTTTTATATTCCGAATCGAAGTTAGAATATCTATATGTAAATCCATCATTTCTGTTTCATTCATATCCTTTATGTAAGGTAAAAATGACAGCACATAGTTCATTTTTCATTCATCCTCGAGGTAAGTGGAGCAGGATTGTTATCTTTATTAGGCTGTTTTTTAATTCGGCCAAGATTTCCCTTTCTAGCACATCTGACTCCCTTGTTTTCTTCTTCCGTGCCGGCAATGTGGGTGGTAGTAATTCATTATTAGGCTCAGGTGTAAGCGGAGGAGGATCTGGTGTATTGGATGTTGATAAACACGGTCTTGACGTCAAAGGATTTTCTGTGTCAGTTAAATTTGAATCTGTGTATGCTTTGTCTACAACTTTTAAAAGAAAATTTAATTGTTCTGCGTGTAAATATTTTGAAAACTTCCCCTATGCAGGATCAATGAATTACAACTATAAAAATTTCTACTCTATAGTTCTGCTGGCTGTAGTTGATGCGGACTACCAATTTTTGTACGTCGACATTGGCGCGTATGGTAAAGACTGACTCGTCCATTTTACAAAAAAAACGGAATTTTGGAAAAGAATGAAAACCGGAAATCTTAATATTCCACAACCGAGACGCTTGCCAGGATTAGATACAAAAGTACCGTACATTTTCATCGGAGACTGCATTTCCCTTCGAGGAGCATATTCTTAAAGATTATAAGAATATGCTCCTATGCTCTAATCGTAAATTAAGTGTGACGCAATGGGTATTTCATTATCGATTGCACAGAGCTCGGCGATACATAGAATGTGCGTTCGGTATATTAAGTAACAAATGGAGGATATTACATAGACCACAGAATGTTTCCAGAAACTTTTCGAAGAATATAGTGAAAGCGACGGTAATGTTACATAACATTGTTCGCAAACGAGATGGTTATCGGGAAAGTGATTTGGTCATTACTAGTGGATCTCAAGTAATAAATTTACCAAGTAATGAAACAAAATCCACAAAGAAAACTGGTAAAGGAGTGCGTACGTGTTTTGCTAACTATTTCATGTCTGAGGCAGGTCAGCTGCCTTGGCAATTATCTAAAATTTAGTGAGTAGCCACACCTTAATTATATTGTAATTAACACAGCTGTAACTTAATAAATATAATAACTTAATTTACCTGTGTTTTTCTTTTCAACCTTCGACATTTCTTCATATCCTGTCTCGAGAAACGCAAAAACTTCCTGCCAGCATTTCTCTCGTAATATTTTATTTTTACTTGCTTCATTAGTTTCGTCCCAGAGACAAGGCCTCCACTAACTCGATAAGAGTCACGATGTCGCATTTGAAAATCATGACCTTGACACGTACGCACTGTAAGCGAACCAAAAACTAAATACGAGTCCCTCCGCTCCGCGCCTTCCTACCCGCTCCGCGCACTTACACACTCGCACGGCTACAATTCATATAAATACATACACATGCAATTTTGCCGGGCCGGCACCGGTGGGAAGCTTGCTACCCCGGCGACGGCGACGGCGCCGGCAGGACTCGATGCCGGGCCGGCGCCAACGCCGGTAAGTAAAAAAACGAGCCATACATTTTCATACATTTTTGCTTCCCCGGCAACGGCACGGCGCCGGCGCCGGCGTCGGTGGCGGTGCCAGGCCAGGTAATGGAAAAACGCCCAACCTTTTAATCACATTTTTATATTTATGTTGGGGATGTTTTGACATCCATATTGGCGGTTGATCTAATATTTTTGCAATAAACTACTCTGTATTCATTTAAAAAAAAAACGCTCTAAATTCGTATAAAATATTTTGTTCTCAAATACATGGCAGCACCGCTGCGTGCGTCCGCGTCGTATAGGGATGTGCGCGTTTCGCATGAACAATGAAATTAAATACACGCCTATAAATTTATTTTGTAAGTTAAATTCACACCACCAACAATATTACGTAAGTTGAAAACATTATTTTTTTTTTGTGTAGATATTATGTTGTTTTTAAAGTCATTTGATAGGTTTAGGTCTAAAACCGATAGGGCAAAATAAATTATGTAAACAGGGCAATCCGTTGTAAAGTTAGAAGGGATTTTCAATAGAGAAAATTGACAAATGTAAAATACGAGCTATACACTAGATACGAGCGCCAATACCACGATGGTTTTTTGTGCATAACCCAACTGCCGAGTGAAGTACATAATAATATTTGTGTTTGACTTCTGTACCTATCTGTTTTGTGACGTAGGCGAGAACTTCAATGACATGAGATACGCAATTTCCATTTTCACCAAGGCATTCAATGTTATTCTCAAAAAATTACAAGGAAATAAAGACTTTTAAAAAAAATTTATTATGTAATATTGTCAGACTATTATTATAGTATAAGTCTATCTCAGACCTTTTTATTAATTATTGTCCTTTAAATAATACATATTTATTAAGCAATTGTCTTTTTGGCAAACGATTTGTATTCTTTAACAAGATATGTAATCTGATGTTCATATATTTCTCAACAATAGCTTTTATCAAATCTGTAAGGTGGCTTGACTGAGGGTATTTAGAAAACTGATGGAAACTTATGTCATCTAGTAGACCATTTTCCCATGAACCCTTCGTCGCTGCCAATGAGAATCAGCTTCACAAATTCTCATAATTTTGTCCAATGTCGGGTAGTCGTTATTTAAATATATTGAGTGAATTTTTCTTCTTATTGCACAGTTGTCTAGTTCAATCGACTGTGGATAGTCGAGCTCTTCTTTTTTTCATTTTAATGTGTATCCTTTTGTTCTTTAATAATTTTATAAACAGTATTTTCGGACACACCGCATGCACTTGCTGTTTTTATGACTATGCTCTCCACAGTTGCATTTAAATCACACAATTTAAAGTACTTATAAACATTGTAAATTATGCGTCTCTCTCCGCTATGGATTATTGATCCACTTTTATTCTTTCGAATTGGTGAAAAATTCATTTTCAAAATTTATTATTGATCGAGTCACACGCGAATTGTCTTCTTGCACGCCGTATGTCGGGTTCGCGGCCCATACTCGAATGGGTCGGTCTGTGTGGTTATGTTGTTCTAATCGGTCCGCTCTTCACGCGTCGTCCTCTGCGCGGTCAAGCCGCGCCGGGTGAGACCCATATGAGAGGCCCAGCGAGCGACCAGCAAACAGACGACGGACTTGTGCGGGGAGGGCGGAGGTGTGGGAGTATTGATGTCGTATTTGGTTTACAATAATGTAAGAAGAAGGTGGGGGGGTGTGTGGCTTTGCCGCCCTGGGGGCGGAGCTTCAGCGTCATGATGATCGTGATGTGGGAGGGGTGGAGTCAGATGGGAGGGGCTTTGCCGACTGGGGGCGGGTGTTCTGCGATGTTGTTGGCTGCATACAATCTGAGGTCTGTCCCTCCTAGGAGCAAATCGATACCGAGAGAGTATGTAGATGTTGTATTTGTTGGTGGCACAAGTTGGAGGATAATCTTGCGGTGTACTAGGGTCAGGAGCCCTCTAAACGTTCGTCAGTCCACCGGAGATATTTCATCTTGTCTATAGACGATGTAGTTTGGAGTCTTGAATTTTGTCTTTTCATGAAGGTGGATTTCGTTCACGAGAGCTACGTCGAGTTTGTGTTCTAAAAGGAAATGAACTAACAATCGACATTTTCCTGTGAGCGTTTGTGTGTTCCAGTGTACCGCTCTTAGTGGCTGTAATGTGCTGCCAGAAGTTGTAGGAATCTGGTTTGAAATTGTTCGACTATTTCCTTCGATGTCTGGTCGAGCAATTCTTTGATGTCAGGGGCCACACCTTTTGTAGTTGGGCCTTTTGAGTCCGATCGTGTGGCCGGTGCGGTGTAAGATAATTCTTCGTTTTAATTTTTCCTCTTTCGCCGCCGCTTTGTAGGTAGCGCTGCGGTGGCTTCAGCGGTGATGGTGGTGCGTTGTCTGGTGGTGGGGGGCTGGCGGGGGCTTCAGTTTTTCATTTCACTAACCTCTTTTTTTTATGGTGGCGTTTGTCACTGGTCCTTTTTTCACCACTAGTCCAGCTTTTTAGTTTTTGGCTTCTCGTTTGTGGGCAGGACAGCTCGAGTGGTTATCAGAGTGAGGTCCTTTGCAGTTGGCGCACGTCGTGGGCTCCGTTATCGGTCTTGGACACTCAGCTGCTGTGTGTGGCTCGCCGCATCTAACGCAGGCGAGGGGGCGGTGGCATCCTTTGGATGAGTGGCGGAAGCCCTGGCAGCGGTGACACTGAGCCGGTCCTCTCTTAGCGCGCCATGTTTCAATGATTATTCCAGGCATGCTTAAAAGTTCGTTCACTTCATAGATGGCTGGGATCAGTCCGGGTGTGCGAGCGAGTGCGATGAAGAAAATACATCCCGGGCGGCCAGCTCTCGCCTGCATGCGCTTGACGTGTTCTACGCTGGAGCCTTTTTCCTCTAGGGCGCTGGCGATGAGGTGTGGCTCTGTATGAAACGAAAGGCCGCGTATTGCAACCTTCAAACTGCGGTCCTCGGGAAGAGCTTAGAAGTACCAGCTGATACCGGCCTCGTTCTCCAGAAGTAGGACTGGATCAGGCGGTACTCATTTCCGTCCTCCGGTGTGAATCTTATGCCCGTTCCAAAGGGGCGGGCGTTCGGCGGGCGTCCAAGTCAGTTTCGTATGGCTTGTATGTGGGTAGTCCATTCGGGAATTTTCTCTACTACTATCGGCGGGTATCTTGGTTTATGTTGTGTAGGTGGGGCTTGAGATGTCGTCGTGGTGGCTGTAGTACTGGTGGAGGGGGGCGCCGGCCGATTCACACAAAATACACAACCGTTTTGTTCGAAGGTCCAGCGTTGCAAAACCAAGAATTACAAATTCGGTAGGGTTGCCAGTAAAAATTCGGTAGTTTTCGGTAGATTTTATTTTGTACCAATAAATTATAATATCAATAAAATAAAAACTGCTATGATCTTAATGTACCTTAAACCAAAAAAGATTATTTGTTATACCAACCTTGCGATGAAAGTTTACTGAACATGGTTTTAGGTATATTAAAATCATAGCAGTTTCTACCGCCTATGTGTCTCTTAGTGTGTAAAAGCCCAACTAAAGCATCAGTTGACAGGCGGTTGCGGTTTTTGGTTTTCATTAAATTTACCGCAGAAAAAATTCTCTCCACGTTCGCAGACGAGTGCGGTAAAGAAAAAATGTTAAAAATGAATGAAGTCACTAGTCCAAATAATGGTGTACCGTCACCGCCTTTCATTTGAGCCACATTTGCCCAGAAATCTTCGGCATCATCTTTAAACACATTAATTTCTTGAGTGTTCCTAAGCAGGCGCCACTGTGTATCAATGTTCTGGTAGTCTTTCGCATCAACGAGTCCGGGAAATGCTCTACAAAGTGGTATTACACTTGAGTGAATTCCTTTTTTTACATTTTCTGGTGCCAAAATATTTAAGTCTTTCAATGGGTTGTTTTTAAGGGGAAATCTTTGGATAATTTGCTCAGATGCTTCAATATAAAACTGTAGACATCTTGTTTGAAATAAATTCAACTGATCTGCAGTCAAACTGTTATCATTCAGTAAAGTATCCATAACTTTTGCTCCAAAGTACATCTCACGCATATCCAAAAAGTTATGAGGATTTTTAAAGTTCACATCTTCAATGTTAGTTGCATTTAAGTAAGACCTCTTTAAAAAGCAGTCTAACAGAGTTTTCAAGGATGCACACACATGCGAGTATAAAATGTGAATTCTAGCACCTTCCGCTTGCATTTCTTTGTTCAGTTGGTTAAAGATTGGCAAAACAAAATCTAAAAATTGAAGGAATAAAAGAGTTACCGGATCGTTCAATTTCTGCAAAATATTTGTGGCAATTAGCAACTCCTTTTGTGAGGCGGCAGCATCGATGAAATATAATTTCAGGGCAGGATATTGCTCTAGAATCCGACTAACAGCTGCATGTACCGATAACCATCTCGTCTGGCAAGGGTGTAAAATCTTGTGAATTTTTAATTGGCAAAATATTTGAAACTCTTCATACTCTTTTGTTCTTTTCGGACTTGAACCGAAGTAATTGTAAATATCCCGGACTAAATCTTCAACGAATCGAGGGATCTTCTCGCCAGCATAAGATGCGCATAAATGAAACGAATGGCATATGCATTTCATGATGAATAAATTTGGGATTTCTGATTTTAATAAAACCATCACTGAATGTCTTTGTCCCATCATTATATTTGCACCATCGGATGCAAATCCAATCAAGTTATCTTTATAAGGAATATTTTTGTCCATGAAAAACTTTACAATGCTTTCATAAAGTGTGGTGGCATCTGCTGAAGAAAGGGGAATCAGCGCGAGAAAAGAATCACGTACTTGATTATTTTTAACATATCTTGCCACCATGCAAAGATGTTTTGTCGTTGATAAGTCTGTTGATTCATCAATAACCAACGAGAATTTAATATTACGCAAATCTTCACATAGTTCTGCGAAACTCTCTGCACCGATGACATTTTCGACGATAGACTGCACTCTTGGACGTGAGCATTTTAAACTTTTTGCAACTTTAGAGTCTGGACAAATCTGTACAACTAATTTAGAAAGATGATCAGTAATATTATATGGAAGATTATGCTCAGCTACAAACCCAGCAATCCGGATTTCACCTGAAATGAATGAAATTGTTAATTTAACAACTTATTGTTTGGTATAAATAAGTTGAAAACAAAAAAATATATACCTTATTTCTATTATTTTAAATTGGCGCAAAAAAAATTAAAACCTCACTTACCTTCTTTCACTTGATGTTTAAACTGAGTAACTTCTTTACTGACAAAGTCTGTCAATTTTGGTTGAACAGCTAAGCTCTTAACACTATTTTCGTGAAGCTTAGATTTGGCATGTTTTTTAAGAGCGTCGTACCCCGACGATATATTTATCTCCTTATTACAAGATTTGCATATTGCAAAAGTAGGTTTTGATAAATGTGGAGACAACCATGCAGAGAACTCCTGTCGTAACTCCCACTCTTTTTTAAATTTTTGTTGATATTTCTTTCGCTTGACACCAGTACTAGTCGATGCACCAGCATTAGAATCTGAACTTTCCTCAGACATTATAAAATTAACTTCGCCCCAACAAAATTAATACGCTATATTGTAACACGCTCAATCTTCCTAAGGAGAATGAATGAATCGAATAAGAAATGTTTTCAAACAAGAAATAATTTCATATTTACAGGGGATTTCCCTTACTGGATCCTATCAAACCCTTCTAGTAAAATGAATCTTACTTCGCTATCAATAGCGTCCATTTTTGTTCATAGTATTTGTAGCATACGGTCAAACAAGGTTATTCCCCAATGGGGAATAACCTTGGGGAATCCCCATAGCGCCAAGCAAGACGTCAAGATGACAACACGTGCGAGAAAAGGATAGCTTAATAATTTCGTTAATAAGTGTGATTGAAACAGACTATGGGTAGGGTTCATAGAGTAAAATAGAGTGGTGTTGCTAGAAATAATAAAATATTATTGAATTTGGTTTCTTTGTGGTAAAAACCAGTGGCAAACTTAAAAATCGGTAGATATAACTTCGTAATCGGTATTTCGGTAAACGAGGGCTCATATCGGGAGATCTACCGAAAAATCGGTAGGTTTTGCAACGCTGCGAAGGTCAGACTTGGTCAACTTGGACAACTGGTGACTTTCTAATTTCAAGCATTTTAATTGGCTGGGGGGCGTGGCCAGGCCGGCGGACAACGATGACTCACTATTTTCTTAACGCGAATGGACTATAGACTGTTCCACTATCTGCTGTACATAATCATTAAATTTTAAGGGTGGGGCATTGCGATATTCACAGAGTCTTGACAAAGGATCGGCGATATTAACTTTGCCGGGTCTCCATTTAATCTTGTAGCACCCAACGTTCAACTCGTGCACATGTTTTGGACTTCTGTCCAAATAAAAATTCTAATACCAAATAGAAAAATCTTGAAATGCTCTAAGGCCCAAACTAGAGCGAGTGCCTCCTTTTATTTTTGGCTATATTTTCGTTCCAGTTCAGTCAAGGTGCGGTTGTCATATCTAATTATTTTAGACCCTCTGCTATCATTCTGTATCAAAACTGCCCCTAACCCTACAGGACTTGCGTCAGCAATAACACGCGTGTGTTGTCCTTGACATCGTAGTATCCTAACGTTGGTACTTTACCGAGAGCTTGCTTCAATTCTTGAAATGCTTGGTCCTGTTCTTCTTTCCACAGATCTACTATGCTTGCCTTATTTCCTGATTTATTCCTCAGTAGTTTTTTCAAAGTTTCTCTCATTGTTGATAAATTAGGCAGCCATTCATTAATGTAGTTGACTTATCATAGAAAACTTTGGAGTTGGACTATAATTAATATATTCTTACAAGGAAAGAAAATTAAAACATTTTTTTAGTTTTATTATATATTGTATACTTCTTATTTATATATTTCATGTTTCGAATATCAAATCGACACTATAGGTTTATGTTTATGTAATAATACTGATATTATCGGTATTTTTAAATTATCGCTTGGTTTTCGCAGTATTTCTGTTGTTTCGTTCAGAATTACTTTGAGAACTACCCCTTTTCCTACGTTCTAATTTCCTTCTTTGATTTCTTGTTAACACATAAAAATTTTCCTCACTATACATTCTCTTTAATTCGTCTAAAGTTACCGCTATTCTACTTAAACTGTCTGCTATAACGTTTGTCGATCCTTTTATATAAACAATATTGTAGTAAAATTCTTCTAATTGTAATGTATGTTTTCTTTAGTCAGTTATTTTATTCGAATTCAATAGATATTCGCATTTATTCTTAACAGTAATCTAAATTTTAATAATCTTCTTTTTGGATCTTTTACTTTAAATAAACTTATTAGTGGTCTATGGTCTGATTGGATTTCAAATGTTTTTCCTATTAAATAAGGTTTAAAATAATTAACATTCCATACTATACTCAATAATTCTTTATGAATTGTAGGATAATTTCGTTCTGCTTTGTTTAATGGTCGACTTGTGTAAGCTATTGGTTTCATATTTTTATTCATAAGAACGCTACCTATCGTTCGATTTATATAATGTTTGGAGAGAGCTACAAAAAAAATGTAAGAAAACTCAGGTCACTTTTAGGAATCGTGAAAATAATTTTAAAATTGACATTGATAACTTATTTGATATTGCACATGCTGATGCCTTTGAGAGAATGAAGATAGAGGAAGACAAATTATTTTTAAAGAAACAGAGAGAGCCAGGTCGACCTGGATGCTTAGGCGGTGTAGACAAAAAATTGGCGGACAAAGAAGAAAGAGCTAGGCAAAGACGATTGGAAGAAGAGGAAAGGAGTGTTAGACAAAGAGAGTTATTGGCTGTTGCATCTTCTTCTACTACAAATAATTTAGAATGTCTAGAAGATTTGGAAGAAGAACAGATTTGGAATTCTGAATTCAGCTTGCCAATCGTTCCCTGTCATGACAAAAAATCACAAAGAGGTAGAAAGAATCTTATAACACCTAAACTAGTCGCAGCTTTAGATCGATGCCAGTTAAGCATAAGAGACTCCGTTTACATTCTTCATGCGGTCGTAGAAGCTCTTGGTCTGAGCAGCGATGATTTCCCCATAAACAAATCCTCGATTCAGCGAATCAGAACTCAGGCGAGAAAATCCAGGGCAGAAGCAATAAAAACTGACTTTCAGAACAATGTGCCTGACGTGGTCACAATCCATTGGGATGGAAAACTATTACCCGGATTGAATGTACGAAGTTCAAAAGTAGAACGTTTGCCAATTCTTGCTTCATTTGACGATAAAGAACAGCTTCTTGCAGTGCCTAAACTAGAGAGTTCTTCTGGAAAACATCAAGCTAAAGCTGTCGCAACTGCTCTTTTTGACTGGAATCTTCATAATAAAGTTCAAATAATGTGCTGCGACACAACAGCTTCGAATACTGGCCGTTTCAATGGAGCTTGTGCTGTTTTGGAGCAGACTTTAGAAAGGGAACTGTTGCTTTTCACTTGTCGTCATCATATTTATGAATTGGTTCTAAAATCTGTCTTCGAAACCAAGATAAAACAAATAACTAGTAGCCCAGATATTCCAATCTTCAAAAAATTCAGAGACAATTGGAATAACATCGATTCCAGCAACATTAAATTACCCCTTGATTACGTAAAAGAACATGTTGCCGAAACAAACATTACATCTTTGTTAATGTTTTATAAGTCAGAACTAGACAAAGATTTTATAAGAGACGATTATCGCGAATTAGTTGAACTATGCGTAGTATTTTTGGAAGGAGATATGGAGAAGAAATTAAAACTCAGGCCCCCCGGAGCTATGCATCAGGCGCGATGGATGGCGAGAGCGATCTATTCTTTAAAAATATGTTTACTTCAGTCACAATTAAAAATGACTGCGCAGGACAAAAAAGCCCTACAAGATGTTTGCCTATTTATCGTCACAGTGTATGTTAAACCTTGGCTCAAATGCACAGTGGCAACTAAAGCACCTAACCAAGATTTGTGCTTCTTGAAGATGTTAAAAGAGTACGAAAAAGTTGACGCAACAATTTCTAAAGCTTCTATAAGCAAGTTTAGCCATCACTTGTGGTATTTGTCTGAAGAGGCAGTCATTCTATCACTTTTTGATGATGATGTTTGTAACCAAACCAAGATAAAAATGATTGCCAACTTAAACAGAAATAAAAGCTCAGATTTTGGCAAACGCTATGAAACATCAAAGGAAGAACTAACCCAAAAGTTGTTCGGTAAGCTATTTTTTTTTCTTTTTTTGCATTTCTTGTCTGTTTTTTTTTTGTTATTTAATTTGTTTTTTTTTTCAGATAAAACGCTAGATGATTTTGTGTCGGAAAAGAGCAAACAATTTTTTTCTCGACTGCAGATCAACGACAGTTTTCTAGGGGAAGATGTATCTTCTTGGAATAATAATGTTGCTTTTCTGGAAACTAAAAAAAGAATAAGTCGTTTGAAGGTTGTAAATGACACTGCTGAAAGAGCTGTTAAATTAATGCAAGATTTTAACGGACTTATTACGGCCGAAGAAGAGCAAAAACAGTTCTTGCTGCGCTGTGTTCAGGAACATAGAAATTTGTATCCGGACTGTAAAAAAAGTACACTGAAGACAAGTTACCCCGGCTAAGTGTTATTATTTTATGTTTTTAAATAAAGATTTATGTTGTTTTTATTTCATTTTAATTCTTTTCCACTGAATTTGTTGCATTTATATTAGTTTTATAACAGACCGAAATATTAGGACAAAACACAATTTTTAATTAAGTTTGTAGCTCGGTCGGCACGGGTTGCGATCATGCTAGAATGATGAAATTTCATATTTGAGTATATTTTTGCATTTATTAAAAATATAGGGGGTATGCATTTCGATTTAATAAAAAAATATGCCATATAAGGGACACCCTACTATACACCTTACTTTTTTCAACTTCTTACCTACGCTACCTACGCATCCGCATTTTCCTCCAAATATTCGTCATTTTCGGTGTACATCGATTTTGATATCTTCTTAATCATAAATTCATTCGGTTTAAAGGAGACACAGTCTCCATGTTCCTTAATCCTCCTTAGTTGTAATCAAAGCTGAAACATGTTGGTTCAGGAACCTGGTCCTTATTTTTGTTTTATTTAAATTCAGCTGTGAAAAGATTCTTTCGCACGAAGTATTAGACATCGGCAAACATAATAACGCTTACGCAAAATAAGAAATGTGTGGGTATTTTGTCGCTCCATTCGCGTCCAGGATTTTTTCTATCGCTCCCCAAAATTTATTAACACTGATATTTGTGCTGGTGGTGCTACTTTTTGATTCTAATAAGTCACTTACACTTCGATCAAATTTGATTTGACGCAGTTAATCATCAACTTTTTGTAAGTCGTTTTCGTCTACAATATTAGGAAAAGTCTTTGCGACGTTTAATGTTGACTGAAATTCTTTGTAAGCCACATGCTGTGGATCCAAAAACTGTAAATCTTTGAAGATTTTACTCAGTGGCAACCGTGTCTTCAATTGAGTACATTATTCAATCAAAAACGCTTGCATTTTTTGAAGGAA